CGACCAAGCAAGACAATTCGACCACAGGGCACATCCACTAGTGGGGCAGACGACTCCAGTGGTATGGCCACATCCTATGCCTTGTAACGTCGCTACCACTGCACATCAGTTTGAAGTGGGTGGCCATCGGCCCAGAGTAACGCCTGGACAACGCTGATCGACTCCCGCATGAAAGCCATCCACGATTGGACTAGACGCACTAGGTCGCACTAGATCAATGCAGGGATCATCGGCCCAAACATGGTTCAGTGGAACAACCTTTGGGAAGAGAAGAAGACAAGAGTTTCAGACATATCCTTTTGTTGCTGTTACCATCACCCTCTAATCTGTGTACTTTTATTGGCTTTGTATTACTGTAACTGATCGTAGAGCTCCGCTGCCACGTGATAGTTCAACATCCTATCGCTCAATCCAGACAATCGAATCGCAAAGTATGAACGCGCCCACAGCCACCAATGAAGGAGTATCACGTGCGATTGGCGGAGTTACTTCGGCAACATCAGCTCTTATTCCCCCTGCCTTTCGAGGCACTACTGCAAAATCATCAAAGATCATGGCTGAAAAATTCAGGAAAACGTGCCCATTCAGCCCATTGTGAACATCGATTAGAACTGGACTCAACACTTGCAATTAGACAAGAGGAGCATAAAAAAATTTATCTCAGTACATAGTTAAAACTGGTTAATATCACAGTGAGGCATAAAGCACTACGACCCGGTTCAATGCTAAGGAACCACAATGCCATACCACGACAAATGAGCGGCAAAACTCAGCAAAACAGTTACAAGGATGGTCGAAATTACACTTCGGTTATTGGCAATTGATGAAATTGCACTACTATGAAATCGTATCAAACAGGAGATCAGTTGGTTCTAGAAGATAAAACGCGCTTTGATGTAAGTGAACGGTAAAGGGAATGGCACATCTACTAAGTTCGTACTGCTTAAATCAAATTCCTTGTCGGCACGTTTTCCTGAATTTTTCAGCCTTGATCTTTGATGATTTTGCAGTAGTGCCTCGAAAGGCAGGGGGAATAAGAGCTGATGTTGCCGAAGTAACTCCGCCAATCGCACGTGATACTCCTTCATTGGTGGCTGTGGGCGCGTTCATACTTTGCGATTCGATTGTCTGGATTGAGCGATAGGATGTTGAACTATCACGTGGCAGCGGAGCTCTACGATCAGTTACAGTAATACAAAGCCAATAAAAGTACACAGATTAGAGGGTGATGGTAACAGCAACAAAAAGGATATGTCTGAAACTCTTGTCTTCTTCTCTTCCCAAAGGTTGTTCCACTGAACCATGTTTGGGCCGATGATCCCTGCATTGATCTAGTGCGACCTAGTGCGTCTAGTCCAATCGTGGATGGCTTTCATGCGGGAGTCGATCAGCGTTGTCCAGGCGTTACTCTGGGCCACCCACTTCAAACTGATGTGCAGTGGTAGCGACGTTACAAGGCATAGGATGTGGCCATACCACTGGAGTCGTCTGCCCCACTAGTGGATGTGCCCTGTGGTCGAATTGTCTTGCTTGGTCGTTTGCATTTGACGAAGAGGTGGGGGAATTTGATACCGCTTCACACTACCTTGTCCCTGCTTAGTTCCATACGAACTTCGCTGAACCCTTCAACCAGAGACGGTTATGCTCATCGAGACATTTGGCGCGTCGGTGTACGATACCGCGTGGCGGCAATCGTGAGAAACTATGATGGTCTTGTCCGTCTCCCATCACGGTCTCTATTGTTGGGGGACAACAATAATTGTGCCCTCTGGGATTATAGTGCTCACTGCGTTGCTCAGTTACAATTACAAATAATTTTGTTTAGGAAACAAGTCACTCCCATTTTCCTCGCCTATAAAATCAACCTTCACTTTCTAACAACGGATGGTACACTTGTCCATGTGGCGTTGTAAGGGTGCGCTCACATTCTGCGACGGGAGAGTTGGCGATTCAACGTCTTGGCGCGCCAAAGGAGTGGTATCAGTTAACCCACGTCGCTGATGGTTCGATTTTTTTTCTAAGAACTTAGCTTCTTCCACAACGCTCGCTCTTACTAATCTCCCCATCGCAAGAAGATTGAAGCGGAACCTAATGAGGGGCACAACAGCAGACGCGTTTCGGACGTCCGCATTTAACTGCAGTATGTTTTGACTCACCGGGATGCTTTCTATGCTTTGCGTCCTGTCTAAAGGTCCCTCCAGTTCACCACAAGGACGAGCTGCCCCCCCCACCAAGTGACACAATCGTAGCTTGGATAGTCGTTCCGCCACCTCATCACTAGTCAATGCTTATTGACTTATCTGCCCATTTAAAGGACGCTCGATTTTTTTCTTTCTTGAAAGATCGCAGTCAACGGTCAGGGGCCAGTGTGGTGGACAAAGCTCTGATACTGCTACGATATGAATCAGCTTAAAAAATCGCTAAACTTTCACAAGACTCGTGGTGTAATGCTGATGACGGTTCTCACTGGAACACTCCCACATAACATCGTGAAGACCAATCATCTCATATCAATTCATATTCGAAAATTCAAGAAAAAAAATTAATTCCCAACAAGAACAACAAATGTAATAGCTTTGAATAACAATGACATAGAGCGTAAAAATTAACAAGCACCGATAGATCGTTTTCAATTCTGATTCCAGTTAATTCCACTTGTATAATAAATAAGAAGATTCAGAAACAAGCAACAACTTATGAAACAACCAATCACAGGAATTCCTTTGAGTTCACCTAACACCATGACTATTGGAAAAAAAGAACTCGTGCGTCACAGCACAATTTGGGGCGCCGTTCGGCTTGAGGGGGGGGAGGGAGGGAATTATTCTGTAATTCCGCTACTTCCCCTTGATTTGTTCAATGCTCCACTTTCCAAACTTTGACTGGCATCACCTCACGGCTTCACTCTGACCTTGAAGAGCGACATTCGGTGGTGCGAAACAGCAAAGGGAAGCAGCGAAAGTGCAAAATGCCGCCCCCCCCCTCTCCTGTTGCTGAAGTGCGCCCAGTGTGATACATGTAGAAGAACGACAATACGTTAGAAACTATGATTAAAAGCGCCAGATCGAACACTTCAATTCAGGCCAATTAGGTTTCGTTATTTCTTTCCCTTCTTGCTACTGGGAAAAGCTGCGGCTATCAATGAAGCTTGACTGGAGGCAAATCGTTCTCGAACAGGATCGAAGAATCTAAAATCCGTTGAACGGGAGTTGATTATTCATCGCAACGGAGGTCCACAAACTAGGATCGTATTTAGAAATTTAGAAACAATGTTACACAGCAAGCAGTGCGCTCAAGACCCTGCTGTGCTATTTGTGTCTCTCTGCAATGCACCATTATATACAAATTATGGGAAACCCGAAAGATTTACATGTGCTTAACCCACATCTCAGAAGTGGCCAGCAATTTCCCGCTTAGCGAGCCAGCACATAATGTCTTGTCTCAAGTGATTCCACACTCGTGCATTAGAAACTGAATCACGGAGGAATGCTCTAAATAAAAGCATCTGAGATTCAGTGGTGCGCGACATGCAAGCGAACTGAACGTAACGTTGAAACCACAAGAATGCAAAGCGTGGGGGCAGAAGTGGCAGCGGGACGAACCGCACCCTCACGCTTTCCGGGCGAGTGCGCTATCCGTTACGCCACCAGGGCCGCTTTTACCCTCTCAGCTTAATGGCTTATGCCGTAACCTTACAGCACTCACACGTTTAACTTGGTGAGCCGGTCAGCCGTAATCGTTAGATATCGGCCACGGAACCGCAAGGCCGAAGGCTATACAAGTTTTTGAAGCTGTTTTTATGACAGTTATCATAACAAAACAGCTTTAACTTGAACCGTAACTGAACTTAAGTTGAACAATTTCCCCTACTCCTGCCCCAAGTGCAGTAGTTGAACAAAGCTGTATGAAGACCAAAGTTCTAGAGAAACTAACTTAAAAAAACGAAACAACGGACCTATTAATGAATCCTACAACAGCGTTTTTCAGATCTCCAGGATGAAGAGGGAAATCGGGGTTTGAGCCATGCATGAATTCCTTCTCCAGTTCTTCATATGATGTCACGCTTATATTGCCACCATTTTCCGCGCTCCTCACTATGTCGAGACCTCAATATTGAAGCAATTATTTACAAAGCTTGATAAATGGAGCAAGGTGGGAAAACTGTTTCTGGTTCAAAGCAGGCAGCGAACGTAAGAATAAGAGGAGAAAGTGGCCAGGAAAATGATAAATCTCCATGTAAAGACACTCGCTTTAGTAAAACACTTGGATCAAAACTTGAGTGAAAAAAGCAAATGAGGCGCAAGAAAAGCAAGCAAAATACTGTATACAACAAACTTGATCCACTGAGTAGAGGGAAAATAAATTGTTGGGACAACATCATGGCGACATTTCCTTTCAGGATTTTGCGGCTCGCAAAACGACCTAAATTCTGTTCATATTCGAGTAAATGATGGCATACAACATTATTGCTCACGCGCCACTTACTTTACTTGTTTTGTTTTGGGGTATCAAATGCTTCCAAGAGGAAGTCAGGGTTTGAGCACGACATCTTCTTGCCGTCACAACCAGGGAGAGTTGAAAACGCCACTTGAGTAGGAACTTGTGTCTTCATGCGGGACCACAGCTAAAAAAAACATGTTACCGAAACAAGTGAGATTTACATTTTCTTTTTTTCTTTTTTTTACATTTTCAAATGTTGACAAACCTTCACTGCAAGATTAGCAATCGCCACTGAATCTTCACCCAAAATGGCCAGGTCAGTTTTGAGTAAATGATGGTTGAGCGCATAGAATAGCGGTACCAAATTGCCGGACAACGACGTTCCTAAATCATCGAATCTCAGATTCTTTGATAAAAACAAGCCAGAAATCAGCCAGCATAGCGTATTTCTAATAGTAAAAATTACGAAGCACACCTTCACAAACTGTAGTCTCATCGCGAGTCACGGAAGAGGCCATTTTGTACATGTTCAGCACGTAATCTCTGTAAGCGTGAGAGTACATAAGAGCTACTTACGTTACGGCAATTTCTCAATCAACAAAAACAAAAAACTACGCACTTGAGAAAACAAATCTATGTCAGGCAATTGAAGAGCTCTGAGCGCTCCTTCGACCAAGCCCGTGCTCGATAAAGAAAGAGCATAATCTGGTTTAGAAATATTCACTGCGGCTCATGCGAGCATTCCAGGACACCTAAACGACCAAATATTTGAACGCAAGCTTTTGAAAGAAACACAATAAGTGCAATTACCTTCTCATTATCAAGAAAGGCTTCCATATCAGAAATCAGAACAATTCCTTCTATGCTGATTCCTCTTCTGACTATTGACTGAAATATTTTGTAGAGATAGTGAAGGAAAACGTAGCAGAACTATAGGGGCTAACCTTCATTTTTAAAAGCCCCATGAGGAAACCAAGATGGAAACGTCCTTTGGGATGAATCGTAAACGTTACTCGTATCGCTCTGCCCTCTGCTATACTCGATCTCAACGTACCATCATCATCTCCGATTAGCTAAAAGAAAACAAGATTTTGTGGGTCGTCTTCTTCAGAACGTGGCTCGATGGGAGAGACCATTCCAGAAAGGATTTGAGAGATATGCAAGATACAAGTGAGCCGGTTTGCTTACATGGTTTTACAGGTCGTCACAAGGTGGCCTGTACAGGTTTCGCTATTAAGTGTTGAATTACGAAAAGAACGCAGTTCGTTTTGGCGACCCCACCAAGGCGAACTGCTCTTTTCGTAATTTGATTATGTGAACTCTGATTCTCAAATGTGACCTACATCATTTCAGAGCAAAATAGGAAGATG